TATGCGAATGTCAGATCTGCCACTGCATGCCAGATGTGTATCCGGTAATATTTCTTTTTTCAGTTTCTGCTATCCGTTGATTCTCTGTGTTCGTACCTGCTGATATTGTGTTCGTCATCGATGAAAAACCACACAGCGTCTTCACTCGTGAAGGAAATGATCTGGTAGCCACTCAGAAGATCTCTCTTGCAGAAGCATTATCCGGCTGCACAGTGAATCTCACGACACTTGATGGTAGAAACTTGACTATAATCGTCAACAATGTCGTTCATCCTGAGTATGAGGAAGTTGTTCCAAGAGAAGGAATGCCACTGCCAAAGGATCCAACAAAGAAGGGAAACTTGAGGATAAAGTTCAACATCAAATTCCCACCTCGGCTCAATGCAGATCAGAAATCGGGATTGAAGAAAGTCTTGGCTGCATAAAGTAAGAAATTAATTGCATAACTTTTGTGGCTTCTTTGCATGAACAAAATGTAAATTAGATTTACCATAATCTTGACAGAAGGCTATTGGAAATTTGGTTGTTTTTTTTTTATATAGAATATTATTACTTAGTATAGTGATTCAAATTTTTGGATTGATATTTGGTCTATTTTATGGTTGGTTATACAATGAGCTAAAGTTTAGTTTTATTTATAACAGTGGTTAATGTTCATTAAAATTTTGGTACATGCTGAACTCCAATAATATTCAAATTCATGGGACGAGTCTCAGTCAACCAATTTAGTTGTAAATTTAGTCAATTGAACCATAAGCTAGATGTTTGATTTAGTATATCCAGTTGCCTTAACATTTAGAGGTAAATCTACAAATTTTCATGTTCCAGTTTCTCAAGTGCATCAAGTTCAAGCTGTGTGTGGCTTGGATGATTTGTGTGTGGAATTGCCGTTATAGTCTGAGATAGGAATGATGATTTCTCAATCTTGAAGATGTTCTGTTAGGTATGGAAGAAGTGTCATGATTGCCAATGGCTTTTATAAGTATTTGAAGGAATTGTTTGGGCTGAAATGATTGGATCAGGAGTTGTGGTAAGATTGTCTGTGCTGAAATTTGTAAGTGCAAATGGGAAATAGTGTGCCAGAAAGTGTATGGCGATGGTTAAGTTTTTTGATAAGCAAGTATATGTTCATGGAAGGAAACATGTCTTGATACAAATATTTCTTTTGAGGCAATGTCAAGAAGGACATTGCATTTCTGGCCAGATATGTATATCTTAAGAAATATATATTTTTTTAAACTTTTGGATCAAGTTTGGTTCTGTGCACAAGGATAGAAGCATAACATAGTGTGCCAAATATTTTTAATGAGTTTATGTCTGGAATTTTGTCATAAAGGAATCGGTAAGGTGATTTGTTTGTGTAGAATTAGAGTGATCACTCTATTTATGATGACTGAGGCAAATTGAATGATTTAGGACCAATAAGATTTTGGTAATTGAATACCCAATATTAGTATTATCTGAATTTTTTATTGCATTGCAGGCTGGATTTAGGTACCATCATGCTGAGTCAGATTACTTGATGCTTGTATATTGGATCCCTCATACCCCTGATAGCATTCCTGCAAATGCTTCACACCGTCTCGGCGTTGGTGCTTTTGTCGTCAATAACAAAAGAGAGGTAATCTTCTTCCTCTTTCATTTCTCTTTCTCATCAATCATTCTGTTATATTATACTTTAAACAGTCTCGTTTTGTTTGATAGGTGCTTGTGGTTTAGGAAACCAGTGGTAGATTTGGAGGCACAGGTGTATGGAAGATGCCTACTGGAGCTGTTAATGAAGTATATATCAACATGATTATTCATCAAATTATGAAACTTATAATATGTTCTTTTGATTCATTTTTATCATATTTGCAGGGCGAGGATATTTGTGATGCTGTAATTAGAGAAGTGAAGGAAGAGACAGGGGTAAGCAAACACAAAATATAGTACAGATTAAATTGTTCTATTTCATTTTTTTCTTGTCACCGTCTGTTATTAATATATTTAACTAAACATTCTTCAAAATTTATATTACACCATTGTATATTAAAACAAAAAATGGACTATTCATTTCGAAGTCTTAATGCCATTACTTTTGTTCTTCATGTAGGTAGAGACAGAGTTTGTTGAAGTTTTAGCTTTCAGGTAAGAGTGACTTACACACACCAACCTCGTCAACTAGCATGCAGTCTGAATGTTGGCACAACTATATCTTTTACACAAGAATCATTAGAATGCATGCATATAGTTCACAAATTTTCTGTCTTCAATATCTGGCCTGCTACTGACCTTTATGTTTTTCTTCCTGTCTCTTTGGTATCAGGCAAAGCCATAAATCTTTTTTTCAGAAATCAGACTTGTTCTTTGTTTGCATGTTGCAACCTCAATCCTTTGACATTCAAAGTCAGGCCTCAGAAATTGAAGCAACTAAGGTATCTTTATAAAGTTGTAGGATGTTTTTTGACTGGTGGTGACCATATTCCAACATAGTTTGTTTTTCTATTCAGTGGATGCCTGTTGAAGACTATGCAGCCCAACCTTTTGTGCAAGAAAACGAGCTCTTTGATTTTATTGCGAAAATATGCTTATCGAAGTTGAATGACAACTACACTGGTTTTTCTAACGTACCTACTACTACATCTTCTGGCAAAAAAACTTATCTGTATTTAAACAATGATGCTATTGGTAGCCACTTGTTAGCTTCCAAAGAGCAAGCTTAGCATGAAGCTTGCTTTGTTAGTCTCAACAACCATTTGCTTCGAAGTGCGCCTGAATCCTGATTTTATTATGATTTCATGACCATTTTATATTCTTTGTGTTCTTTGTATAGATATAACATATCATGTAACTAGGGATAGTATCTCTTATACAAAATATGATTTCATTTCATGATCTTTTATAATCTTTATATTCTTTGTATAGATATAACATATCATGTAACTAGGGATAGTATCTCTTATATACAAAATATGATTTTATTTCATGACCATTTCTAAACTTTGTATTCATTATATAGATATATCATATCATATCATGTAAATAGGGATGAATATTATCTCATATATAAAATAGGCTCTATTGTTGTTTTACCACGCCTCATTCAACAAGTGTAGTATTATTTAATAGGGGAAACCCAGATTTTTCTGTTAGTTAAGTATAAAAGGTTTTGAGGTTGAATAAGCAGCTTCATTTATTAAGACTTGATTAAAATGCTACATTCATTACATTGATATTGGTAAGAAAGTTGTTGCGGAAATCACTGTGGTTGGAAATCTTGCAATTAGCGGCACGGTTGAAAATATTGTACCAAATATGTACCATTTATTAGCACTTTATTTGAAAGCGCTATCAAATATATGTTATATATTAGCGCTTTTTGTCTAGAGTGCTATAAAAAAACAAACAAAAAACATGCAAAATACTGACTTTGATAGCACTTTAATTAAAACGCTATTATAAATTGGTACTTTAATAGCGCTTTTAAAGTGCTATTAAATAAGAAATATTTACAATAGTGGCGCGGTTAATAGCACTTTTAAGCGCTATCAAAAACAAAAAAAAGCGCTATTAAATAGCTTATTTAAGCAAACGGGATTAAGTTTCATGAATTAAGCAAACATGAATTAAACGGACACGATAACGAATTAAGCAAACGATAACGTGACTATGGTTAGGATCATACAATCAATCGAATTAAATCAATATAATCTATGCAAATTGAATTAAGCAAACAAGAGACATAGATTAATATTGAAAGGAATAAAACTGAATTAGAACTATAATAATGTCAAGGTATTGGAACCCGAATACAGCAAATTGTCTGGACCGGTTAGTTCTCCATAGGAATTCATACAAAAGCTTCAAAATATTTTGATCATCTAAAGAAGGTGTAACCCTCTCTAGTGGCCGCGAGTCTTATAAAATAAAATAAGGATTTCCACTTAAAAAACAAACCGGGTCAAAAATATAACCCAAACCCACTAAAAAGACCCAAAACAAAATATATCTAATGCTGCAACTTCAACGAATTATTCAATCCTGTTACAGTCCGAATTAGCTTCTAGCTCCAACGTGAAAGTTATAGCTATTTCTCTTATCTTTCCAACGAATATTAGAACGCCTCAATCTGATTCCCGGAGCTCTAATTATGAATTTTTTAATGAAAGCAGCCAATGCTGAAAATTAAATACGAAAATCAAATTAAATAAAAAATAAACTAAACTAGAAATACATTATAAAACATAAAAATAAACAAATTAAAACATAAAAATTCTTAAGTACAAACATGAAAGAATGTTCATCAAAATACACTGATCAGTTAGCTCTCGCCTCTTCATATTAAACCCAAAAATTACTATTATATTGGAAACCCGTGTTAGACAACAAAACTTTGATAAGTGTAAGAAGAGATTTGATAAAAAGTGGCAGGTTATTCAAAATTATAATCATCATGTGAATGGAAAAATATGGCTTCTTTGAGATGACAAAAGAGTAGATGTTAGAAAGATATCAAGTACGGATCAGTTAATCCACTGTGGTGTGTATATGCCTGATGGAACGTTCATTCAGGCAAGAAGTTGAATAAGGAGTAAAGGAAAGAGCTAGTGAAACCTGTGGGGGATGATGAAGTAGAGATTGCCTTGAAAGGTATTTGAGACCTTAAGGCACCAGGGGTTGATGATTTTGGGGCGAAATTTTTCAAGGCATCCTAGAACACCATAAAAGATAATGTTACAGAAAATGTTTTGGAGTTCTTCGCAAAAGGTAGCTTTGACACAAAATTTAATATAACTTTGATGACTCTAATACCTAAACACGACCAAGTCGTAAAAGTAAAAGATTACAGGCCTATCTCATGTTGCACTACAGTTTACAATAAAAAGAACAAATTCACAATTTATAATGGTCAAGAGGAAAGAGGAAATATAAAAAAACAAAACTGGGACTATAGTATTTCATAATTTTTATTCTTTATTCTACATAGACTTGAATGCATGCGTAACACATTTATCAAGTTACACATTAAGATTAAGAGTAGTATTATTCTCTTCAACTCTCCCTTCTATAACTTGTTTAGGATTCCAAGGATAACATGTATCAGATGCCTCAGTTGTCCTACATGGTCCTGATTTATTTATCTTCCAATTACATTTGCTGCATACATCGTGATCCCTAAATTCAACATAAATATCATAGTAATGAAATTCATTACCCCATGTAAATCGACAAAAGTATAAAGATGCTCTAATAATAGGCTTAGGCTGAAAATCAAATGTGTAAGTTTCTCCAAATTTCAATGATCGAAAACCGATTTCATGGTTTTTATCTTTACAATTAACACCGAGTTGAGGACTAGTTATGTTGTTGGTAATGGAAATGTATACTCTGTTTGGAGTCCATGGAGCCCTTAAATTCTTCACACCATTTGTAACTTGAAAAGAAACAACAATAGTTATCAACATTGAGAGTGATAACACAATTTTGGAAGTAGAAATCACCATGCTTGTACAAACAATAGAGTATGATTGATATACTAAGTACTAACACTGAAATATATGATATGTGTTTATATATAGCTATTCTGCTCATTATTTTAAGTAAAAATTAATTTTTTAAATTTAATAAATATTTAATGTATCCTATCTATATACATATTTAATTATTTTAAATAAAAATAATATTATAATAATAAATTTCATTTGACTGATATATATTTAATGGTGGGCTCTTATTTCCGTGAATAAAAATTATATATGTATAGAATTTTGTATATTTTTGCACCTATTCAGAGAGTTTTTTTTTTTTATTTTAATAAACAATATTAAAAATAAGTAATGTTATTTGTAAGTTTTTTAAATTAAAATATACGAAATACTAATGAGTGCTCTTAGAAACTTAAAATGATAATCTTAATAGAAATTTGTGTATTAAATATATACTGGACATTGAAATGTTTAAATTTTTTAAAGATGTAATTTTTTGTGAAGAATCCTTAAAGTCTGTTAAAATTTAATGAAAATTGTTAAGAATCCTTAAAAAATATTTGATTAATGAAAATTGTTAAGTTTCTTTATGTAAAAAAAAACAAATGAATACTTAATTAATATGAAAGTTATGGAAATAAACAGTTCATAAGTATCTCTATCCAGCCCCTTAATTGTTCACTTAAGACATTCACTAGATATTTTTGAAATAATATTCTATAAAGAATTATTTTTTATGTAGGATCTATTTGATAACACACATCTTTATCTTTATAGTTGTTTATATGAAATTTTAGTTATGTTTATGTGTTAACAGTTTTTTTTTCTCACTAGTTTATAATTTATTATTAATAGTTTATAGCTTATTTTTTAGATATTATTTTAAATAATATTTTAGTTTATAATTTATAGTTTATTATTTCTTTCCTTTTTATCTTTATTATTTTAATAAAAATTTATTTTTATTCTCTATAATTTAATTTAATTTAAAATCGGCTTAAATGCAGTTTTGACCCCCTAGTTTAAGGTTTTTGGAGTTTCGATCCCCCTAGTTTAAAAGCCAGGTTTCTAGTCCCCATAGTTTTCAAATTTGGGATTTTTGAAGCCCCCTGGCTGCCCAAAAAGTTTGCAAATTTGGGATTTTTGAAATCTCGTACGGGCGGATGGAAGAGGAAATTAGGTTAAGCAATTTGGGATTTTCAGAAAATATGAATTATGAAATTAAAAATTCATTTGGAAATTAATATCACTTATTTAAATGTTTAAAAAATATTATTCTAAATAAGAAATAAGAAAATAATACGTGGCATTACTCTCCCTGTGCCATGTCACATGGAGGGGGCTTCAAAAATCCCAAATTTGAAAACTTTTTGGGTAGCCAGATGGAGGGGGCTTCAAAAATCTCAAATTTGAAAACTATGGGGACTAGAAACCTGACTTTTAAACTAGGGGAATCGAAACTCCAAAAACCTTAAACTAGGGGGGTCAAAACTGCATTTAAGCCTTTAAAATCAAATAATTATATATTAAATATATTTTATGTCATTTTATATTTATAAATTAATTGAACACTAATTTTATCAAACACTTTAATTAGTTACTATTAATCTCAACTATCAGTTATAAGTTATAAATTATCGATTTTCATAAATTATAAACTATCAATTAATTTATCAATCAACCGCTATTTTTATTAAACAGATCTTTAATGTAATATTCATTGGTTATAATTTTGTATTTAATGTAATATTCACTGGTTGCAAATTTATTTAATATAAAATATTTTTTTTGGTCAATCTATGTATTACTTTTATCACAATTTTTGTATATTAACCATTTACTTTTTTTTTGTGTGTATTACTTTTACCAAATACTACTGCATCTAGAAGTTTTAATTTTTACTTAATCTTTTTTCGTCTAGACTACAATCGATACTTAATTCAATGCTTCAAGCCTAAAGAATATTATCTATACCTTTTGTGTAAAATGAATTCAACAAATTGTTTTTACATCATTCATTTTATAAATAAAAAAATGTCGTGTATCCGTAAAATCAAGGATAAAATTAGTAAAGATATGAGTAAAATTAATAAACAGAATGTAAAATTCTATATTATATTACATATAATTTACATATAATTTTTTTTGTCTAAACTATCTAAAATTTCTGGCTCCGTCATTGTTTGTAAGTCTATTATATGACAAGATTATTAGAATTAACTAATAAGTATAGATTGTCGCACGAGATTAATTTAAATTTTTACAATAAATAAATATATTTTAGTAAATATAATTGCATATAATATATACTCATGATAATAATTATTATTATTATTAAACTTATACTATAATCTGTGAAATTTTATAAATTAAAAAAGTTACACATTAAATACTATTGAATGAAAAATCACCATCAAATAATTTATTAATTAATTACTATTGAATGAAAAATCACAAATTTATCTAAATTATATAAAAATATATTATTTTACATTTAATTATCAATTTAGAATATGAATAATAAAAAACGTAATTTATAAAAAATGAAAGAAATCATAAGTATGATAGTAAAAAGTGGGTAGTAAAAAGTGGCTAGCAATAATAAAGAAAAAATGGTGAGATTTTTTAGTTAATAATATTTTCAAATAATATAATAGTTAGTCAATATCTTCAAAAACATATTTTATATATTTTATTTAATGAAAAAAAAAATATTTAAAGAGCCCAAGTATTCATTTTAAAATTAATATCAAATATTTTTTTTGAAATTTTTTTAAATTCTATAAAATAAAATATTTTAGAGTAAAATGTATTTTAATTCAAAAATATAATTATGTTCAATACCGAAACTTAAAAAGTGAAAAAAATCTTAAATAAAGTATAATATAATTTAATATAAGTAGGCTAAATATTCATTTTGGTCCCTTAATTATAGGTCATGGTTCACTTTGGTCCTTTATCTTTTTTTTTTTTGGTGTCAAAATGGTCCCTTCAATTTCAAAACGCAACCACGTTAGTCCTTCCGTTAGTGAACCGTTAGTGAAATATAAAAAGCAGGTTCCAGGTGGCAGTTGTCATGCTTGAAGTGACTTGTTGGAGGCAACGTGACAGAGAATAAGGACAGATAATCTCCCAAAGCTCAAGATACTATATGCATGTTCTGTTTGCCCAAAACGAAATCCAAAGGAATGAGGAAGAGGCTTGCGAAGCTTGAGAAGGTGATTCCGTAGGTGATTGCTTTTCTGGTATGTCATTCTTGTTTTGTCTTTGTAGCTGAATATTTGTTATGGAATTCTGAATATTTGTTATGGGATTTCTGGGATTTAGGTTTAATGGATGAATTTCTGAAACTCGTAATCCACCACAGTGGTGAGTTCATTGATCCAGAGTGTAGTGTCTATGAAGGAGGCCTGGTATCTGAATTGTCAGTAGATGTTGATAGGTGTAGTTACTTCGAGTTAGTTGGTGTATTGAAAGACTTAGGTTATACGGATAATATAGAGAAAATCTATTACAAAGGCCCACAATTTGGGATGAATGAACTAGTTGATGACAAAGGTGCCCTAGAAATTGCAGACCTATACAGGATGCACCATATTATTCATGTTTACATTCAACACAGTTTATCTCAATCTGAGTATTATGATGGTCCTGTTGAGGAGCCTGAGAACATTGTAGATGAGATGGAGGAGTTGCTTAGCAAGCTGCATGATGACATTTAAGGAAAGTTAAAGGAGACTGTTGTTGGTGTGGATGAAGTTAATGATGGATTGAATGATCCAAGTGTTATTGTGGAACAAAGTAATGCTGGATTGAATGATGCAAATGTAGGGTTGAAAGCAACAAATGTTGAAGTAGAGCCTATTGAAGTGGAGTCAAATACTGATGGTCAGGTGTACGATGAATCCAATTCTGATGACAGTGAGGGTGAGAGTTACCAGTGTGATAGTGCCTTAGAAGTAGCCTTTGAAGATGAATTGATGGTTATGAGGACATTGATAAAAATGAAATTACAGACCTGACTTTGTATGACAACAATGAAATATCAAAAGGAAAAGGAAAAGGAAAGTGCAACAAAGATACAAAGAAATATAAGGGGAGTGACAATGACAGTGAGGATCTTCAAAGTGGTTGTGACAGTGATGGCAGTAGTGGGGTTAAAAGAAATAAATACTCAATTTTCAAAGAGATAAAAGATATGGCCAATTACAAATGGGAATTAGGAATGTATTTTAGTGCAAAGGATGACATTAAGGAAGCAGTTGCCTCATGTGCTGTTCAAAATGGAAGAGCCCTCAAGATCATAAAAAATGATAAGAAAATGGTGAGGGTGAGATGTAAGAAAGGTTGTGAGTGAGAGGTTTATTTTTACCAAGTTATTAAATGAGGAAACCTGGAAAATAAGGAAAATAATTGACAATCATAACTGCAGCAGGGAGTAGAAATGTGAGGATGTTAAGCACAAAGTGGTTGAGCAAGAGGATTCAGAATACATTGAAAAACAACCTAGGTTAAAGGTTCGGGATATTAAAGAAAATAAATTGAGGAAGTGGAATGTAGGTGTAAACAAGACTAAAGCAATAAGAGCAAGAGTGGCTGCAAGGAATAGGGTTGACGGTTCCTTTTTGGGTGATTACACTAGGATATATGACTATTGTCATGAACTGCTAAGAGCCAATCCAGGGTCAACAGTTAAGATGAATGTTGAACCTGCTCTAGAAGGTGTTGATGATCAGAGACACTTTTTTAAAAGGATTTACATATGCTATGAAGGATGCAAAGAAAGTTTCAAATTATGTAGGCATGTGATAGGATTGGATGGTTGCTTTTTGAAGGGGCTTTGTGGAGGTGAAATTCTGGCAGCTATAGGAAGGGATCCTAATGATCAGATGCTTCCCATAGCACTTGCGCTTGTTGAAGGTGAAAATAGAGATAGTTGGATATGGTTTTTGAAGCTATTGATTGATGATCTGGGGGGTGAACACGAATGTCGCTCATACGCTTTCATTTCAGACCAA